AAACCATGTTCTATAACTATCACCATTTCTCTACGTTCATAGAGTTTCCAGAAGCATGTGGTCTAGGAAGTGGACGCCGCTCCTACTTCCAAACCTGAATCAATCTGGGAGCTCCACCAAACACTGTATGTTGAGTAACCGTTATGGTGTTTCACACACTTGTGGCACAGCGTTCAGTATCACAACAACCCCAAGTTACTTCAGTACAGCAAATAGGCCACTTTAGAAGAATGTTCATCCCAAAATCAATTAACACTAGGCAGAGGAGGCACTACCACCTTTTAAATACAAGGCATGCCCACTAGGTGCTGGTTAAGTCTAAACAAAGAGACTTCCAGTCCACAGCTCATTGTTCGTTAAATCCGGCACATTCAATCAGCTCACACCTGATTGTGAATTGAGCCCCCCAAAAAAAAAAACCCAACGAAACGTTCCATACCTGATTCTCACCAAAAAGTGAGAAACCATCTTACAGAATACAATTGCTTCACACATGGGTCTCCAAGCTGCAGACTTAATCTGCTTCCAGGCTTTTAAATACAAGGCACACCCACCAGGTGCTGGTTGACGCTAAACCAAGAGACGTCCAGCCCTAGAACTGTAGAAATCCAAATTCTGTGTGTTAGCTGGAGGGGAAAACTTTCTCTCTTGGCTCTATGAAATGGTCTTTTCCGCTTCAGGTGGTCTTTGCTTGGAGGGCTCTGTGTGGCTCAGCATCTATCTTCCCCCCTCTCCATTTTCGTCATAGCTTATTTAATCTATTTTAGACCATAAAGACGGTTATTTAAGACATACACACCAATCCTGTCTCATTAACATGACAAAAACAACCCACTTCTAAGCAACATTAAAATTGTAGACATAGAGGTTAGAATTTACAACGAATATTTTTGTAGCATAACCCTAAGCATAATAATGGCTATGATTCAAAATCTATTCCTCAGAACCTAGCAATGATAAAAATTTTCAATCTTATGAATATATATATATATATATATATATTACCCATAATTAATTGTTTTATCCTCTTGTTATAATATCACCTATTAAAGACTTTTTAAAAAATGTTGTGTGTGTGTGTGTGTGTGTGTGTCTGTACCGTCAGATCAGATCTGACTGGTACAGGAGAAGATTGTCCCTCCTTTCCTGGCAGACCATCTGGTGGATTCGAACCATGAGCCTCTGGGATTGCAGTGCAGCTTCTTGCCACTAGACCACCAGAGCTCCCCTATTAAAAACTTTTGTACTTTAGTTACACATCATCTTTTATGTCATTATACTTATAAAATCAAACTTTCTGAAATGTGACCATTTTTTAATGTAATGAATTTAGAATTACATGAAGAAATTGACTGCCAAGTAATTATTATTAAATGTCTTTTTAAAAAAATTTACTAAATTGCTTTTTTAATTTTTGTATAAAGGGTTATTATTTATAAAATAATAAATCAACAATATGAAAATAAATATATGTATTGCTTTTTTGATAACACTATAGGGCTAGTAATTGAATTAACCCAAGTGCTCACTCTGTATTGTATAAAAACTATTTTATGAGTATTGTATAGCAAATAAATGTTTAGAAAAACAGTTGTTACCATTGAGATATTTATACTCTGATTCTTAGAAATATTTTATCATTTTAATACCTAAAGTGTAGTCATAAAACTTGCTTAATTTTGGCATTTAAAAAATTTTAATCATTGTAGAAATTATTGTAGATAGTTTTTTCTAAAAATGGTATTATTAATTTTCTTTTGAAAAGTACTTGTTCTTTGTAGATATGTTGGCCTGATAAACTTGAGAAGTTACTTGGTGGCATTTATTAAATTCCCTCTGACAAACCACAGCTATTTATTTTATGGTCAAAGTAGAGACATTTTCTATCAAAAATTTCCACTCTAACTTTGCTTTTTCTTTTCTGAAACATTTGTAATAAGTACTGGAGAACTCCAGGAATTCTGACTTAGTTTTGACTGATATAATTATAAAGAAGAATCATATTGTAAGTAAGGGTAGTTCTTCATGTGATGACCCTGTGGATATCTGTTAAGCAAACATTAGCTGACTAAAACGAATTTTTATTTAATGGATGAACATTTGAAATGGATTGGTTTAAATAAGGGCAATGAATATTCAACTATTTCACTGACAGACATAAATATCCTTGCTGGTTTGTTTTTTTTTTAATAAACCATTACATAAAAGGTCACAACAGTGCTTTAACTAAAAGGACATCTCAGATAATAAAGTCACTAGAACTGTAACACATTTCATGGAACATTTTACTTGTTCTTATTTCACAAATTACCGAATATTTAATAAATCTTAAACTTTACATGGAATCATTTAGAGAACACTACTTTAACAGTAATTATGGCACATGGTTCAAATCCACCAGCTGCTCAATGGGAGAAAGAATGATGATCTTCTCTCATGCAATTTATTGCCCCTGAAAAACCGCTGGAGGGACAGCTCTGGGTAAGTTTCAACTCCATTCTTCTTAATGACAAAAAAAGCGAACAGAACTATAATTAATAATGTGTCAAAAGTTTTGTCCATTTGTTTCTTTGTCACCTTTGTAAATTGACTGCTTTATAGGAAACTTTATAGTGTCTTTGGCCATATTTTCAGTATTACACCAAATGTCTTTAGAATTTAGAGGAAGTTTGGTTAAATGATGGCTTCATACGGTATCCATCTATAGGGCTTTCAGAGGCCTGTTATTTCAGAAATGGATGGTCAGTCCTACTTCCTAGTCCGTATTAATTGAGCTGTGCTGAAACTTGTCCACCGTGGATGACCCTTTTGATACTCGAAACACTTAAAATATAGCTTCCAGTGTCATGGCAACCCACAAGTTAGCTTAGTATAATAAGCTGACAGACAAATGATGTACTAATAAGAGCAAACAATAAACAAGAAAGCTTTGTCTTGCTTATTTATTAACAATAACTGAAGTTTCATCTCCCATACATTGAGCATGGTGCTAGGAGAGGCTTTTCTTTGAAAAAGGACATCATGCTTGGAAAGGTGAAGGGCAAGCAAAAGTGAGGAAAACCATTAATGAGATGGACTGGCACAGTGACTGCCACAATGAGCTCAGGTGTTATCAGAGATGATGAGGATGGCACAGGATAGGACCGAGTTCAGATCTGTTGTGCATCTCTGTGAGGCATACTTGACTTAATGACACCTAACAACATCATCATCATATAGGGTATAGTAAGTAATTGTTTGAGATTGATACGATCATTTGCACTTTATAAAATACTAGTGTTTTGTATTTAGATGTCTAAACAGTTTCTAGCTTACGATAATACTAACATGAGATTTTTGTTTGCCTTTCAAGCCTAATCTTATCATTTTAGTTTACTTCTAATGATTCTTACTTAACTGTTCTATGTGATGTAAAAGAAATTTCATCGAAATATATTTTATTTAAATTATAGTAGTTCTCTAAAACATTAATCTTCAGTTTTGTTCACCTTCACTTCCTTTCCTGATATTTTATCATCATATACACACTTTTTTCATCCCAATAATGGAAAATATCTATAATAATGTCAGTTACACTCAGAGCGAAAGAATAGTTGAGGATTTGAAAATTAGCTTGATTCAGGGAGCTCTGGTGGCCTTGTGGCAAGAAGTTGTGCTGCAATCCTAAAGGTGTGAGGTTCAAATCCACCAGATTCTCTGCTAGAGAAGGAGGGGCAATCTCTTCCTGTGCCAGTCAGATTTGATTCAATGGTACACAACAAGGGGGGGGGGGGGAGAAAGAAAGAAAATGAACTTGATTTTAATTTTATTCAATCTCCTTTCTACTTTTGTTTACATTTTATATTTGTCATATGCCTGTTAAATAAAGCTTATTTTGCTCTTCACATTGCTGGCCATCTGTTCAGCCTCACCTTCTTCAAAAGCTAAGAGATTTTACAATCATCTGTTAAGTATATTACAGCAAAATCATTGAATAGTTCCAAATTACATAAGTAAGTTAATTAATTTACTTATAACTAAAGGAGAAAATGGTAGAAAGGAGTAAAAGAAAAACATCATTTCTGCTTCTAGATTTAAAAAGCTTTTCCAAACTTGGTCTTTTCTTGACACCTAACAGGGAAATCTATCTTACACTAATGTCTTTCAATTGTTTTTATATAGATTTAGTGAGTTCTGTTCATCTTTCTCATTGCTGATTTAATGAAGGTTAATAATGAAAGAAAGATAATATGAGTGGATATGAATATCCGAAGAGGTAGCTCTGATTTGAGGGAATATTAATTTTCAAGGAGAAGTACTTTTTCCCTTGCATAATTTACCCATGCTTAATATATCTTCTGAAACATATGCGCTTGCAGAAAAATCTATTGTTTTAAAATCCATATCTTCATGTATACCATCTCTAATTGAGAACAGTAATTAGAGATACAAGACACTTCTTACAGAACAAAGAATAGTAGATATGAAACTGACTTATTTAAGAAATAGAAAAACTTTGAGTCTTTGATAAAGAGCTAATGAGTGAGTTTATGATTTAGAAAACTGATTAACAGATGATAAACTTTGCTATTTAAGAAAGAAAGAAGGCTTAAGGGTAACTTGGAAAAATGTGAATTAATTATGTTTAAAATATTTGCATACTTGTCATGATAATGTGTCTAACACTTATATTTCTCTCTTCTTATGTGCATAGTTTATCTCATTATGTGATATGATTCTTGTGCTATTTGAATATCTTTTCATCTGTGCACCAAAGACTATTTTATGATATCTTATTTTGTTACTAAGTCTCCAAACTGCAAATTTTCCAAATGTTAATTGAAAGCCTACGGAGGATTAACTGACTTTTTGGTGGTGGTGGTCTTTTTTCTTAATCAAGTAAAATGCCAGTGGTTTTGATGATTACTCAGACTTCAGAGAAGTATTTAATCTCCTGGCTAGTGAAAGGCAAGAGCTGGTGGCCTGCACTTCTTTCTTTCCTTAACTAATTTAATTCTCAGATATTGACCAGTGGAATAAGGTAATTGAGCAACTAGGAACTCCATGCCCAGAATTTATGAAGAAATTACAACCCACAGTGAGAAACTATGTTGAAAATCGGCCCAAGTATGCAGGACTCACCTTCCCCAAGCTCTTTCCAGATTCCCTCTTCCCAGCGGACTCTGAACACAATAAACTCAAAGGTATGTTTGTCAGAGACAGCTTGCAATCACTGTGTGGGTTGATGGGCTAGATAACCAAATAATGCGCATTTTCTTTGACTTGAACTACCTTTAATTATGTTGCTTTTGTTAGTGTGTGCCATTGAGTCTGAACCAACTTACATTTGAACCCCAAGTAGGTTTTCGGAAGCATTAAATGGTAAGAGAGGAGATTGCCCATCTTTACTTTTCAGATTAGTACCACATGCCTTCTTACCAGTGCAACTTCTTACCACTAGGCCACCAGAGCTGCCTTATTTAAAGATAGTTGTTAAAAATATTCCTTAAAAAAATATTCCTTCAGGAGTAAGTGGTCATGGATTTAATTATGATGTAGGTTTACAGTGTCTTGTGTTTAATTCTCAAAGCACAGATAACTTCATGACAGAAGCTTATACTTTTTATAATATTTATAAT